CTGCCCTTCGAGGGCCCTGGGTGTGGGAGCAGCAGACAGGTCAGGAAGGTGGGAGATGTCAATGATTTACTTTGTAGGAGGATCCCAGGCCTCTGCCTCCCGATATCTATGATCCGTTTTCTCTTCCCCCCTGAGCTTTGGGTGCCGGCTGCACACTCAGCTGTGGTGGTGAAGGATGGGATTGGACCTGGCTGCGTGGGTGTTGCAGCATTGTCCATCCTTCATCCAACTTACCTGAGGATTTCTGGGGTCTTGGGCCTAGGTGGAGGACCAGAGGCCTGCCAACAGGAAGAGAAAAAGAAAATTATCGGTAATCTGGAGGATTTCAGTTGTTTTGCAATAATATCCTGCAGCCTTCTATTACGCCTACTGTCACCCCTACACAGTTCCTTCCTCCTTGGCCTGGTGTCAGGTCAGATGATTTGAACCTAAAAGGAGGTTTTTGCTGCTTTGGAGCTGGCTGTGCTAGGTTTTTGGCTCTCTGCCACTCTGATGCGTGAACCAACTGCCTTTTGTGCCATGAGGAATATCACTGCTCCTTCTATTCTTGCTCCTATCACTTGCTCCTTCTAAGGAGCAGTTTCCAGTTCTACCTGTGGTTGGTTTTCAGAGGCACATCTGTTTTTGCTTGTGATTCTGGTTTCAGCTCATGAAGGGTTGAGATCAGGGATTTGAGATCAGCTGTTTTAAACTAGGTTGTGCATCCCTGTATTTTCCCATTACTATGCTTGTAAAGTCCCCTGCTCCATCGTTGTGCCTTACGGTACCTAAGTAATTTAAGGTCTCTGGTGGATTTTATCAGCCTTTTGATGAAGCTCCTTGAAATAGTCAGGACTCCTTTAGTGAGGTGTCAACACTTGGCTGTGTTGAGAAGAGTGTATTTCATCTTGTGTAACGGTGCTGTAGGCTGCAGTGGCTGTGCTTCTCCGTATCCCCTTGAAAAGCTCCTATAAAAATTCTCAGGCTCTTGTAGAGATGGAAAGATGCCGCTACATCATCAGGAACGTGGCATGGAAAATGCAAAGGGCTTCAGGAGCTAGGAGGAGGATGGAAAATGAAACCAAAACTGTTCTTGCTTCTCTGATGGCTTGAGCTGAGACAGGTGAACCCCAATGAATCATACAAGCAGGGTCTGAGACAGCTCACTGCTGAAAGACGTCACCCCGCAGCAACAGTGGGGCAAAGGATGTGCCTCCAGGCAGCTGCTTCCCTGTTCAGGGAACTGTCTTATCCTCACCCACAGATGGAGGTGGGTTTGGGCTGCTTTCTCTAGTGAGAGCAGCTGAGATGTAGGGGCAGCATCTGCCTCCTCCCCACGGCAGTAGCAGAAAGTTCATGGGGGCGATGCTGATGTTTGCTCCCTACTGTGAGCCAGAGCAAAACTGTGGGATGATACCCATCTCCACGTCCTCCTCGACTTCTGCCAAGGATGGTGTTCAGTAGTGGTGCCTTACCTGTGGTTGTAGTGGAGCAAATCCTGAAAAATCATCTTTGTCCACCACAGATGCCACCACCTAGATGCAGAAGACAGACAGTAGTGACCTGGTGGTTGCAGAATCCTCTCAGACCTCTGATGTCCACCCTCCTCCTTTGCTGTTGGTCAAGCCAAGTCTCTCAGCATGTTCCAGGTTCAAGAGGGGCTGTAATTTATAAGCTAAGCATCTTTAACTACATGCTGAGTGCTTTAACTACATGCGCTGTGGTAAGTTCTCAGCTCTTAGCCTCACTGTTACTGTGGTTAGAGTCACTGTAACCAAAAATTTCCCTTTATGTTACAAACACCGATGTTGAAGGGAGCCAAAGTGTCTCGCTCAAGCTCTTGCCTTCTATAGGTTAATTTTATGAACTTTCTAAATTATATTTAATGTTTGTGTGCAGGTTTCTGGGGTTCCCCTGACACCCAAGTTGCTGCTTGGCTCTCAGTCATTGAGTTCCACAGCCGGCGGTGCCCTCCCTGGAGGAGGCACTGCCTCCCAGGACCTGAGCCCAAGGGTGATATCCCTGCTCTTGGATTTTGCACACTCCTGGGACAAAAGCTCGCTTACTTATCTGAGCTGAAAAATCCCTTGCAAAGGGAGCAGAGGAAGAACTGGAGGTTGGTTGTAGGTGTCAGATGTTAAACAGTTTCTTTTTCCCTCCCTGAAAAATTCTTGGCTCGAGCTGAAGCTCTGGAGGGACCTTTCCAGCTCGTTGCTGAATGACTGTCCCTCATGTTTTGCTAAGGAGAGAAAATGAAAATAGGCCATGCTCTGCAGAAACATGCTTTTAGCTCCTCTGTTTTTGCAGAGTCCCTGTTTCGCCTGAGACTCTTGTGTGCCATGCCTCCCTCCATGCCCAGGGCTGTCCCTGAGGCAGCTCCATATCCCTGGCCACCCACCAAGAAGCAAATACCAGGTGAGAGGGTGATCAGCAGCTCTCCTGACCTCACAGGTTTGGCCTGAATAAATCAAGTATTTCTTTCTTACTGTAGCCTTTCCCAGGTAGTCTTTCTTCTCCAGCTGAGCCACTTGCTTTTCATTTGGTCTGAACAGCTTCCCCACAGGAATGGCCACCAGCTCGCAGAGCTTCTGCTTCTGTAGCACAGAGAAGTCATAGCACTCTTCAGAGGTGAGAGCAAGGACTGCTTAATGTTCCCTTCCTCTGGGGTTAAGGTCTCGCTCCATGAATTCAAAACACCACCGTGACAGTCTGACTCTGGCCCTCACATGGTCCATTTAACCCAGTCTTCCCATTCCTGCCTCCCCAGTGACTCAAAGCTTTTCCCACCACCTCAGGTCTCACTAATGATACCCGCATTTTGCTCAGCCTACTGCACTTTTCTCCTGCTCTGCTCAAGCTGTAGCTGAAAGCTGGTTTCTCTTGTCACGGGGATTTTTCTCCCTCTTTCCTTGTGGGGCTTCTCCTCCTTACCAGGATGGCTTCCATTGCCCTGTCAATCTTGTTGTGCTGGGGCTCGCTCTTCATGCTCATGGCCAGTGTCAAGTGCTCTTCAGCTTTCTTCCAGTCCTCCATCGTGGCATACACCAACGCGATGTTGTAGAGTATCTGCCAGAGGGATGGGAGCAAGGAAATGAGCTCTTAGAGCAGCCGGACCGTTGCCAGGAGGGCATGAAAGGAGAGGACAGCAGGGTGGTGGCACTGTCCCAGCTTGCTTGCTTTTGTGTGAGGCACAAAGAGAGGTTGGCTGTCTTCTCCTTAGATTTCTTGAGCTGGTGAACAGGCCTTTGGGATCAAAACAGCCGGTCAAGTCTTTCTCACCTCACAAGCAAAGAGCCTGTAGCGTAACCCCAGGATCTTGTAGTCGATGAGCTGGTTGCCACGTAGCTGGGCCAGTGCCTCTTTGAAATCCTCAACGGCCTTTTCATGGCTGTGGAGCAGAAGACAAAGGTGTCACCATCTCCTGGTGACAATCTGCCTACCTGTAAGTCTTCACTTAAGCTTGCGTGAGCTTGGTTCAGTCTTTCCTATCTCCTTGCAGTGTTTTCATACACCCCAGGGGGAGGAGAGATGCTACAAGGCTGGTGTTATTCCCAAGACTTCCTTGCTGGTGAACAGGAGCCAGTTTTACCTCGAGTGGTTGCAGTTTGGCCCTTTGGGTACCAGCCTGCTTGGGACCATCCTCAGCCAAAGACTGGCATCTCTGCAAGAGGCAAAAATGAAACGTGAAACCCTTCCACTTACTTCTGCCTCCGGTAGAACACAGTCCCTCGCTGGAAAAAAGCCACTGCCAGATGTTTGTCGCAGCCGATGCTCCGGGTGAAGGCCTGCACAGAGGTAGGAGTGGGGTAAAAAGTGGGTAAAAAGGTAAAAAACTGAGAGCGTAGAGTGGTTATACCTGTCCTGCTTTAGCAAAGTGGCCTAAGCTGGCCTCTGTAGGCTGTGTCTCTGTGCAGTGCTGGGCACTGGGTGTTGGAGCCTGTACTAGGCTCTAATTTTTTTTGAGCTGGGACCATCTGCAGCTGCTCCCTCAGCAGCTTGGTCTCTCCACAGTTGCCTCTCGGAGGGAGGGAGGGCAGGCAGCAAACCGGGCACCTCTTCTGCTGCTTTGCATCTGATACACTAGGAAAAGGGATTCAG